TTTCTGTTTCTTGCAAAGAACTCGGCTCTTCAATTTACACCTTATCAAAATGGCCGTTTTGCCATTAGGAGACTCAAGTCATTCATTTTCAATGTACTTTTAGGTTTGGGGAAAAAGAAGTCTGAAGGGGATATGTTAGGAGTGTAGGGTAAATGGGGTAAAGTTTCCCAATGAAATTGTAGGGCAGACCCTGCCACCCTCAAAGAATGAGCATTGCCATGATGGTAAAAACTTTTTATTACAATTTCTTCCTATTAAGCCCCCATAATCATCTTGTGTTCTTTGAGAAAATCTATCAAAATTACCCCATTGAGATTCAAAAAAGAGTCACATAACCTTCTGAATTGATCTCTCTACCTTGAATTGAACTAGTCAAGCAGATCCCCTCAAAAGCCACTGTTTGGGTTGGACCTTGTGTTGCTGTTTAAACCATTTTGTTGGAATAAAGCCATGCATGTATGAACTAGAAGCCTAGGGTATAATTTACCTTTGTTTACCAATATGATGGTTTATTTTGAAAATATTAAAGTTGAAGGTTGCAAAAGAAGGATAATCACTTACCTGCTATTAGAGACTGGTTCCTTTGTGGCTAGGGTTGTTGTTGTTGTTGTTGTTGTTATTGATAGTCGCTGTCACATTGCCTCTGATTCATAACGACATTATATATAAGAACGAAATGCTGCCCAGTCCTCTACCATCTTCATGTTTAAGTCCGTTGTTGAGCCTTCGTGTTAATACAGCTCCTCGGAGGTTTCCTTCATTTTCACTGACCTTCTGCTGTATCAAGCAAGATATCCTTTTCTAGTAATTAGTCTTCTCTAATGATGTGTCCAAAGCCCGTGAGCTGGAGTATGACCTTCCTCAGTTCTACCAGAGCTTTTTAGCTCTTTGCAGTAGATGACAAGAAGGCAGTTTGTAGAAAGTGAAAGCACTAAATATTAATTATACCACTAAATTACTAATAGAATCAGTTAAGACTCCTTGTTGTGGAAGAGTAAGAACTACCTGCTATTTTTCATCAAAAGAGGAATGGTGGAGAGTTAAGTGGATTCAAACAGAGGCAAAAGCAGGTTGAAGGGGAAAGGGACTCAGTGGAAAGAGTGACAGAGCACTGGTGGCACAAAAGCTTGGCTACTAGCCAAACACACCCAGTGACCATGCCGAAGAAAGACCTGCTGGTCTGCTTCTGTCAGCTTATACCCAAGAACACCGGACAGGAGCGTTCCACCCTGTTCTGTCGGGTTGCTATGATTTGGAGTCAACTCCATGGTACCCCAAAACAACAGAGTGATTTTTAGATTCCTGGTGGAGAGGATCTGATGCCAGCTCACTTCTTTTTCGTTTTCTTGATAAAACAGGAACATTGAGAACATTAAATGAAAAAAGAATCCTTCTGAAGACCCGGGACATGGATTAGTTTGTTTTGATCTGAGGTAGGCTGATAGAAAAAGAGATTCTAATGATGTTATTGTGCCTTAACCCAGTAGCATTAGAGAAACATTCAGAGCATTCCGTTTTAACTAAAGTTAATTTTATTGAGAATATACATTTTGAGATCCTTCTTGTATTTGGATTCCCGTTGCTTTCATTTAAAATGCTCACTTTAGACAACTGAGAGACCTTATCAGAAGCGCGTGTACATTGAGACCAGGGTGAGAGCTGTGCTCAGGGTTGTTTCTTCTAGTAGCCGTCTTAGCGCTAGACTCATTGTTCCCCTGGACGAGAACTTCCACATGAAACTTGTTCATTCCAAATACTATGGGCTTCCAGTCTTTCCCACAAGGTAATCTTTAAATCAGGATGGGTATACTAGATCTATTAATGCAGAAAGGGGGGCATATACAGGAGAGCCTCTATGTAGCCAGTAAGAGACACATTCACATCTAGCCTTGCTTGTCACACCAGAAACCCAAAACTCACTGCCATCAAGTCGATGCCAACTCATAGTGACCCTATAGGACAAGGTATAACTGTCCCTAGGAGTTTCTGAGACTGTAACCCTTTACAGAAGTAGAAACCCCGTCTTTCTACTAAAGAAAAGATGGTGATTTTGAACTGCTGACCTTGCAGATTGCAGCCCAACGTGTAACTTCTTCACTGCCAGGGCACCTGTTTGTCACACAGAGAAACATTATTTACTGCAGTCAATAGTTTCATACTACTATTTATTCCCAATACCAAGACAATTGTTTAAAAATAAAACAGTAGAAGTAAAATACTTTTTTTCATTGAATAGTAAACAAGACCGTAGGAGAAACAAAGTAAGAAATGACGTTTGTTAAATAAAACACGAACGCAACCTGTCAACGTTGTCTTAGGGAGTAATTCATTGAACCAAAATGAGAATTCTTACTGTTCAAGGTGATGAATCAAAATAGCGACTGCAACAATGGGCTGAAACATAGGAAGATTATGAAAATGATGCTGGCCCCAGTAGGGTTTTGATCTGTGTACTTTGGATCACCATGACTTTAAAACAGCTGTTTAAATTCCTCTAAGTAGGACTTCATAAAAATTAAGTGAATCCTAAGTTCAAGAAATGTGACTCTGTGTAGGTCCTTAATTTTTTTACTTATAGTCTATGATTACAAGGGCTTTTAACTAGGATCACACCATCATGTTTCATTCTTAGCTTTTTAACATAGTGCTTTGAAAACTTTCATACTATATTATTTTTTGTTCCCAAATAAGAATTTGATTTTTCACATTGAATAATTAAATCTACCTAATTTTTTCAAACTTGTGATTTATGAAATTTTTGTGTAGTCTAAAACATGCCTTTATTTTACTTATTAGAAGTTCCTTGTAAGTTTTGCACTTGGTAAATTGTTTTCAAAAAAACCCCAATCCCTGAATGATTTTCCCATGCCAAGCAGACAAATTTTTCTGAATTTCTTCTTCTGTTACCAGGTAATAGATAATCAGGGAAGTTATATTAATAATTGTCTAAACACATTACAGAAAAGAATGAAAATTTTCTGAATATAATGTAAATAATTAATTTTAATTTTAGAACAAGTATTCTAGAAAAACTAATAATTAAAATTATATTTTCCTCTATGTTTAATCTCAAAAGTACATGTTTCCATCTTAAGTGAATGAAAGTCTGTGCATATACACAACTGTGTCTGAGTTTACAAGTGTTGTATAGCATACTAGGTATCCCACATCACCAAGTTCTGTCATTTTTCTTTTCTTTTTTTAGTTCTAACCAAGTTTCAAAAAATTCCAGCAAATAACAAGCTTTAAAGAATAAAAATGTAGTTCACCACTTCCTACGTTCTTGTCACTGTAGTTAACTGCTAAGCTTTCACTTGACATGACGAGGATATTATCTCCCCAAAGTTGAACCACAGAGGTCTTCTTTTCAATGTAGAAGTGATTTTTAAAAAGCGAACTAAAGTGTTTGGGTTGTTTTTTTTAGAAAATGCTTTAAAAGAATGCGTTGTGAAAGAATAACAATGAGTCTGAGAAGCACCTCATAACATAAATGAGCCTGGAGGACATTATGCTGAGTGAAATAAATCGATCACAGAGGATAAATATTTTATGAGACTACTCATAAAAAGTTGAGAAAATGTTTACACACAAAAGTAAACATTCTTTGGTGGTTTCCAGAAACAGGAGGGGAGAGGAGGGTGAATCACAAACTAGAGACTAGACATGTATTAACTTGGGAAATGGGAAGGCAAGGTGCAACAAGGAGTGGGTCATTATAATACGACCAAGACAAACGAAGACATGAGGAAGGGCAAGGGAGCTATAGCAAACATAAAAACAAACAATCCTGCAATAACAGTAATAAACAATTTATAAGCATTGTATACATAGGTACATAAGGAGATGCTCGAGCTAAAGTACAGAGGCAGACATTCGAGCTAAACAGGTATGAGAAGTCAAATGAGAATATACCATGAGCATATTTATGTCTAAAAAAGGTTTTGTCTGAATACATATTTGTATGTTCTGCAATATGTCCATATGCCAAGGGGGCTTCAAAAGGTTCACCGGGGAAATTCCATTATCTTTTAATTCCTTTTTCCACAAATTTTTGGAAGCCTCCTCCTATAAAGCAGAGAAAATATAGACCAAAGTTAATGAAAACTTCTTAGCCATAGCCAAGTATAGTAAGGGATATTAGAGGATTAGGACCACTGTCTCATGGGACATTTAGATAAAATTGGCAAAACACAATTTACAAAGATAATATTCTATATCCAACTGTGGTGAATAGCAACTGGGATCTCAAAATCTAGCAAGCAGGCATCCTAAGATGCAACTATTGGTCTCTCCCCATCCAGAGTAAAGAAGAGTAAAGAAAATCAAAGGCTCAAGGAAATGATTAATCCAAAGGACTAATGGACCATGAAAACCACAGCTTCCACTCCCTTGAGACCAGAACTGGAGGATGCCTCCTGGCTACCATTATTAACCCCTGTTAATGTAACCACAGAAAGCCCTGGACAGAATAGCAGAAAATGAAACAATTCAAAATCATAAAAAGGGTAGACTTTACTGGTCGGATAGAGACTTGAGGAATCCCCAAGATGGTGGCCCTTAGGCACCTTTTAAACCTGGAACAGAACCCACCATGAGATGTCGGTTCAGCCAAACAACAGACATCCCTACAAAGTGAACATTTATAGTCACGAAGAACATACTCCTCAGAACAATCAATTACATAAGACCAAAAGGGCAGGATTTGCCCCAAAACAAATCTCAGAAACCAGAGAGGGATTCTAGGGAGGAAGTAGGAAGAATGCTGTTCCATTGAGGAAAATGCAACTAACTAACATTACAAAAAACAACCCCCAAAAAGTGTTTATAAATTGTTTAACAGAAAACTAATTTGTTCAGTAAACTTTCAACCAAGCCACAAAATATTATTTCATATTCCTGATTATCTATTTATAGGTTTAGAAATATGATAAGGCACAGGTTCATTTTCATGTCAATGTGTATACATTCTAAAATATTTTCTTCTATTAGGTTTGTTTACTATGTCTTTGGTTGCTACAACAAAAACAAATCTAGAGGAGCATTCTCCCAGTGTGGGGTTAGAGCACAATCGGAAATCTGCAGAATGCAAGAGGAGCCTTGGCCTGGATGATTTTCCCAGGAACATTAACACTGCTGAGAAAAGTGTTGATTATAGTCAGTCTCAGTGTTCCAGCAGAAATTCAAGTTCTCGCTATGATTACTCAGAAGACTTTCTCTCGGACTATTCAGAAACAGCTGTTAATAGAAATTACCTAGAGCAGCCTTTGGTAAAAGAAAAGAAGGAGAAGAAAAAGTATGCTTCTATACTCTCTGAACCCAGAGGTAAGCACAATTTCCCAAACAAATCAAATTTCTGGTCATTATGACAATTTTGTTGTTGTTGAATATTATTTGAAGTGATTGATAATCATTTTTGTTTTGTTTTATATCATAAATATGCAATTCATAAAAATAGAGGTATTGGCATATGTACATATATTTATATAGCAATACATTGAGGTAGTAGACAGACTTTGGGCCTCTGTTCAAGCCCTGCCTAAATGCAAGAACAGTTTGTTCTAATAACTTGACATTCTGTGATGCACACCCTCCCGGCACAATCTCTGAAGACAAAATGGGTGCACAAGAAAATGTGGTGAAGAAAGCTGATGGTGCCTGGCTATCAAAAGATACAGCACCAGGTGTCTTAAAGGCTTGAAGTTAAACAAGCGGCCATCTAGCAGAGAAGTAACAAGCCCATGTGGAATAAGCACACCAGCCTGTGGAGTCATGAGGTGTCCATGGAATCAGGTAACAGGCATCATAATATCCGGAACAAACAAAAAAACGTATTATTGAGAATTAGGCAGGTTAGAACAGAGACCCAAAAACCATCTCTAGACAATGGAACATCCCCTCAGAGAAGGGCCATGGGAAAGGATGAGTCAACCAGGAAGCAATATAGAACTGATGAAACACATAATATTCCTCTTTTTCCTTAAGGATTCCTCACCCCCAGACTATCATGACCCCAGTCCTGCCTTTTACTGTGGGCTAGATCAGAGCATGTCCACAGGTACAGATAAGAGCTCACAACACCTGGAATCCAGGTTAGATAAACCCCTCAGAAACAGAAGTGGGAGTAGGAATACCAGGAAGGTAGGGGAAAGGTGGGGAGAGAAGGGGAGGAGGGGAAACCAACTGCAATAATCGAGACATAGCCTCCCCACCCCCCCCCACCCCCAAGGGGCAAACAGAAAAGTGGGTGAAGGGAGACAGCGGTCGGTATAAGACATGACGAAAATAATAATTTATAACAAATTCTCAAGGGTTCATGAGGGAGGGAGGGAGGGAAATGAGCTGATGCCAAGGGCTCAAGTGAAAAGAAAATGTTTTGAGAATGATGATGGCAACAAATGTACAAATGTGCTTGACACATGAATGGATGGATGGATTGTGATAAAAGCTGTACGAGCCCCCAATAAAATGATTTTTATAAGACATAAGCATAAAATAATTTATAATTTATCAAGGGGTCACGAGGGTGGGGGTGGGAGAGAGAAAAGAGGAAATGCATAATTGAAAGAATTAGGAATGGAGGAAATTCTGAATAATAGCAGAAAATTTTACTTTAAAAAGTGAAGCCTTCTTAGAGGGATGGAAGGAAGTTCTAGTGGAGTAGTGGGTTACGCATTGGACTGCTAACCACAAGATCATCAGTTCAAACCCACCACCTAATTCATGGCAGAAAGGTGAGGCTTTTTGCTACCATCCAGGCTAACAATTTTGGAAACCCAAAGGGACACTATGAATGAGTTAGAATTGACTCCGTGACAGTGGGTTAGATTTATATGACTTCTTTCAGGGTCTACCCTCATAGAGCGACCAGTGAGGTAATTTCCATTTTTAGTTAATAGGTGGCCTTTGTACCAAGGATCAAAATACCTGGATTTCAGTGGTTTCTTGCCTTTCATCTCAGCTGAAGAACCAAAGTTTGAAGCACAGATGAAATGTAAAAATTTGTCTCAACAAACAAAGAAGATGATCGCCAAGTCTGGTGAGGCATATTGGCAAAGACAATTTTTTGAAATCAAAGTGGTGTATGTAGATGTGTGAATGGAGGTGGGGATGGAGTTAAACATGTGCATAGCTCTGTATATTACTAGTAACAAACTGGTTTTCTGCTTACATAGGTCCTAAGGAAATATCATCTGGAAAAAAGCCAAAGTGGAATACATCTTTTTTCAATGCTCAAACCAATACAATTATCCAAAGAAGAGATGTTATGGCTCATCGCATATTGTCGGCAAGACTCTGTAAGATTAAAGAACTGAAAAATGATTTAGCCGATCTACATCGTAAATTGGAAGCAACAGTCATAGAAAACCAATTTTTGAAACAACTTCAGTTTAGGCACTTAAAAGCTATAGGAAAATATGAGAATTCACAGAATAATCTCCCTCAAATTATGATTAAACATCAGAATGAAGTGAAAAATCTAAGGCAGCTACTTAGGAAATCCCAGGAAAAGGAAAGAATGGTGTCTCGGAAACTTAGAGAAGCCGACAGTGAGCTATTGAAGACTAAGGATGCCTTACAGGCACTGCAGAAACTTTCTGAAGATAAAAATCTGGCAGAGAGGGAAGAACTTACTCAAAAGTTAACTGTTCTTACAACAAAATTGGAGGCAAATGACAAAAAAATACAGGTCTGTATTTCAGAGGCTTGGGACATTTAAGGTGCCTCAAGTAATACAGAAGGGGCATGCACAGGAATCATACTTGTCCGCTCCCAAAAAGGCATTACAAACTGCTATGCCAGAAGGCCTCACTAAATAAGTTTGGGGGCTGTGGTACCAAACCAAACTCAATCATTGAGTCAATTCTGATTCTTAGCAGCCCTACAGAGGAGGGTAGACCTGCCCCTGTGGGTTTCTGAGACTAAATCTTTAAAAAGGAGGGAGTAGAAACCCCATACCTTTCTCCCATAGAGTGGCTGGTATTATTGAATGGTCCACCTTGTAACTTGTAACCCACTATCCCAGCAGAGCTCCTCAAAGGGGAATAGAGAAAGGTCCAAACTGGAAAGTTTTGTGGTGATAGTGAGAAAGGACTCATTCTGTGACTCCCACCCCCTCTGCCATCAATTTGGTTTTAACTTAGAGTCACCCTGTGGAACAGAGTGTGCTGCCAATTTGGGTTTCCAAAACTTTCAGTCTTCACAAGGGACAGGAACCACAGCTGGTGGGTTCGAACCACTGACCTCGCGGAACTCACTAAGCCACCAGGGCTCCTTTCATTCCGTGACTAGGCTAATTTATCTGGAAATGATCATTTCTAAGCTGGTTAAGCTACACGTTTCATGGGAGTTTTTCATGTGCAAAAAAGGCCATGTTGTGTTGTGCCAGGTCTAGAAATTACCCATTTACCTCCAACTGTTTATTGATTAAAAAAATACTTCCCTTATGCCTAACTGGTGTATCTGTTCAGCCCCTTTCCTTTTAGTCTCCCTCATAAGTTCTGCCAATTATTACAACACACACAGCCTTAGAATATTAGATTGGGAATTTCTCCCAGATAATAATGTTCTTGCATGTATCCCTTATCATGTAAGCTCTGTACTCCTAACCACAACACCAGCAGTTCAAACCCACCATCCACTCTTCTGGGGAAAGATGAGGCCATCTGTTCCATAAAGATTTAGTCTCAAACTGAACAAGGAGATACTGCTGCATGACTTAAAATCAGGAAAGGCATGCTTCATGGTTGTAGCTTTTTATCATACTTATTCAATCTGGATGTTGAACAAATCCGAAAAGCTGCAGAACTTGTCATCAAGATTGGAAGAAAGCTCATTATCAACTTTCAATATACAGATGACACAACCTTGCTTACTGAAAGTGAAGGAGATTGAAGCATTTATTAATAAAGATCAAAGATACCTTTCAATATGGATTGCACCTCATCCCAAAAGCAACATCACAATAAATGGGAAAGGGGTTGAAATTGTCAAGGATTTCATTTTACTTGGATCCACAATCAACACCCAGTAAGGAAATCAAACAACATATTGCACTGGGGAAATTGGCTGCAAAAATCAACTTTAAAGTGTTTAAAAGCAAAGATGTCATTTTGAAGACTTAAGATGTGCCTGACAGAAGACACATTTTCAGTCGCCTCACATGCATGTGGAAAATCGACAATGAATAAGAATGACCTAAGAAGAATTAATGCTTTGAAATTATGGTGTTGGTGAAGAATATTCAATAATGCTTTGAAATTATGGTGTTGGTGAAGAATATTCAATCTGCCTTGGAATGCCAGAAGAACAAACAAGTCTGTCTTGGAAGAAATACAGTCAAAATGCTGTAGAAATGAGTATAGCCAGACTTCGTCTCATGTATTTTGTACATGTCATCAGAAGAGACCAGTCCCTGGAGAAGGACATCACGCATGGTAAAGGGTCAGCAAAAGAGAATAAAAGCCTCAACAAGATAGATTGAGACAATCGCTATAGTAATCGCCTGAAGCATAGCAATGATTAGGAGGATCGTGCAGGATGGGGCCATGTTCCTTTGTTCTTTTATACATGAGGTCACTATGGGGTCAAAACTGACTAGACAGCAACAAATGTATCAAAAGATCAGGTAGTATAGAAAAACTATTTGGCTGTAGGAAATATGTCAGGGAGGGGAGGAGGAAGGGAGGGAAATTTTTTGTGAGCCAAACATGTAGGTGTTGTTGTTCAGTGCCTTTGAGTCAGCTGTGAATCCTAGTGATCTTATTTATGCATAACAAAATGAAATACTCATCTTGCACCATCCTCACAGTTGTTGCTATATTTGAACCCATTGTTGCAACCACTGCATCAATCTATCTCATTGAGGTCTCTCTCTTTTTTCACTGGCCATCTGTTTCCAAGGATTGGCCCCTCCAGATGGCTTGTTCAAAGTAAGTAAATGAGTCAAGATCTCAGCATTCTTCTAAGATCCATTCTGACTGTACATGCTCTTCCTCCAAAGTAGATTTTTTTTTGTTCTTCTGACAGTGTACAGTGTATATTCAATATTCTGTGCCAACACCACATTTAAAATGTGTCCATTTTTTTAGTCTTCCTTTATCTTTGTTCTGCTTTCACATGCATATGAGGAAATTGAAAATACCATGGCTCTGGGGTTTGATCAAATGCGATGTAGGCGAAAGGAATTACTGAAAGCCAAATGAAGGTCCAATATGATAGTGGGACAAGAGAAAAGTAAAAGGAAATAGAGGAAAGCATTAGGAAGCAAATGACATTTATAGAGGTCTAAATACAGGCATGTACATATGTAAATATATTTATATATAATGATAGGGACATAGATCTATGTGCATATATTCATATGTTAAGTATTAAGGTAGCAGATGGACATTGGGCCTCTACTCAAGTACTCCCTCAATGCAAGAACACTTTGTTCTAATAACCTGGCTTTCTGTGATGCTCACCATCCTGACACGATCACTGAAGGAAAAATGGGTGCATAAGCAAATGTGGTGAAGAAAGCTGATGGTGCCTGGCTATTAAAAGATACAGCATCTGGGGTCTTAAATGCTTGAAGCTAAACAAGTGGCCCTCTAGCTGGAAAAGAACAAAGCCCACATGGAAGAAGCCCACCAGCCTGTGTGATCATGAGGTGTCCACAGGATCAGGTATCAGGCATCAGAAGACCCCAAACAAACAATCATATCTATGCAAATGGCAGTGGGGGGTGGAGTGGAGACCCAAAGCCCATTTGTAGACAATTGTACATCTCCTCACAGAATGGTTACAAGGAAGGGATGAGCCAGCCAGGATACAACATTCCTCTAGTTCTTTAATGCTTCCTCCCCCCACTATCCTGACCCCAGTTCTACCATACAAAGCCAGCCAGACCAGAGCATGTACTCTGGTACAGATCAGAGCTCTCAACACATGGAATCCAGGACAGATAAACTCCTCAGGAATAACAATAGGAGTATCAATACCACGAGAGTAGGGAGAAAGGGGAACCTATCGCAATGATCAACGTATAAACACACACACACCCCACTCACCCAGGGTGACGAACAACAGAAATGTGGGTGAAGAGAAACAGCAAACAGTGCAATATATAAAAATCATTTATAAAGGGGTCATGGGTGGCAGGGAGAATGAGAAGCTGATACCAAGGGCTCAAGTAGACAAAATGTTTTGAAAAGGATTATGGCAACATACCTACAAATGTGCTTGACAGAATGGATTTATGGATTGTTATAAGAGCTGTCAGAGCCCTCAATAAGATGATTAGATATATATATACCATGGCTCACGTCAGGTGCACCTTAGTCCTTAAATTGACATCTTTACTTCTTAGCATTGAAAATTATCTTTCATACAACACAAAGAATATAACCAATAGCACTGAATTATACATGTACAAGTTATTTAATTGGACTGTTTTGTTGTGTATATTTTTGCCAATATTGAAAAAAAACAGTCACATGAAGAACAATAAGTACAAGAAAGAAGAAAATATTCTGAAGTTGATTGTGGTAAGGATTGTACAACTCTTCTTGATATGATTGAACTATTGAGTTGTATGATATATGGGCAAAGTGCCAATGAGACTGTTAAAAGAGAAAGAAAGTTGCCTTATTCAGCAGATTTTCCCTGTGCAATGCACCATTAATTAATTTCCAGGGGCACTGACTGTGAATCCAAACAGAATCAAACATTAGACAGCTTTTATTTCTTTGCCATTTAGTATGATGTTCTTTACAGGTCCAAGTTCAGCATGAACTTCAGTACATACTGAATTCTTTGGTCTTAATCAGAAAGTGCTTCAAGTCCTCTTGGCTTCCTGAAAACAAGATGGTTGTTGTACTTGTTAGGTGTCCTCAAGTCACGTCTGACTCAGCAGCCCCACGCACAACAGAATGAAACCCTACCTGGTCCTGCCACAGACTCGCGGTTTTTTTAGTGTAAATAAATTAGTGGGTGGGGTGGGGGTGCTCTTACAGCTCTTATAACAATCCATACATCAATTGTATCAAGCATCTTTGTACATATGTTGTCTTCATCATTTTCAAAATATTTTCATTCTGTTTGAGCCCTTGGTATCAGCTCCTCTTTTTTCCTCCCTTCCCAACTCTCCCACACTCATGGACCCCTGATAAATTATACATTTTTTTTCCATATCTCACACTGTCCGCTATCTCTCTTTGCCAACATTATACTCACAAATTTTATGTTTGTGCCCATTGTTGCAACCACTGTAGCAATCCATTTCATCAAGTGTCTTCATTTTTTTTTCTGCTCAAGCATGATGTCCTTTTCCAGAGACTGATCTCTTTTGATAACATGCCCAAAGTACATGAGACAAAGTTTCGCCATCCTCACTTCTAAGAAGTACAATGGCTGTACTTCCAAGCCAGATGTATTTGTTTTTCTGACAGTCCATTTTACTTTCATTCTTCTTGTTTTACAATACCATAATTCAAATGCATCCATTTTTCTTTATTCAGTGTCTAACTTTCACATGCATCTGAGGTGATTGAAAATAACATGGCTTCAGTCAAGCACACCTCAGTCTTTGCTTTTCAACACTTTAAAGAGGTCTTTTGCAGCTTATTTACCCCGTGCAATGTGTCATTTGATTCTTGACTGTTGTTTCCATGAGCACTGATTGCGAATCCAAGCAAGACAAATCCTTTACAATTTTTCTCTACTTAAGATGATGTTACCTATTGGTCGAATTTAGAGGGTTTTTATTTTCTTTACATTGAGTTGCAATCCATATTGAAGACTGCAATCTTTGATCTTCCTTTTGCTTTCTATTTTATTTATTGGTTTATTGGTTATAACGGATCAAATGTATGTTCTCTGTACAAGGCATTATACTAAAAATAGAAATTGTTCACTTTTTATAAATATAGTTATTTCTATTATATTAGAAGTTTTAAATAATACTACATTGGATACAGAATAGTTGAAATATATGCTGTTTTCAGAACTTGGAAAAACAACTGAGGTTGAATAAGAAAGCCTTTAATCGGCAGTTGGCTATTGAGAACCGGAAGACATTAGCAGCCCAAACGGCTACAAAGGCTCTACAAATGGAAGTAAAACGCCTGCTTCAAAAGCTTAAGGTATTCCTTTTCAAACAAAATGTAAGAAAAATTCTTTCTCAACATATCGAAGCTATTGGTGCCTGCAATATCTTTAAGTTTTTTAATTCATAAGTATATGAATTAATTTCTCAAATTAAGTTTCTTCCCAACAGATAATCTGAAATTATTTAAATTGTGTTAGTCTGGGTAGACTAGAGAAACAAATTCATAGAGACTCATATGTGAATAAGACAGGATTATAGACAAGAGCAATTGAATACTGAGAAAACATCCCAGCCCAGTCCAGATTTTAAGCCCATAAGTCTGATATTAGCCCATATGTCTGATACCAATCTATAAAGTCCTCTTCAGACTCACGAAACACATGCAATGATGCTGACTGCAGGAAGATCACAGGCCAGTGGGTTGGAAAGTCTTCTGGATCCAGTGGTGGTGTAAGCATCTCAGCACTGGCAGGGGTCTCTACGTGGCTTCTCCAGCTCTAGAGGTCTGGTTGCATCAGGGTAGGTCCATGTGGCTTCTCCATCTCCCAGGGCATAGTGCCATGTGTCTTGTCAGTAGAGCATCCTCTCAGGGAGTGAGTCTTGTTACTCCAAAGGGATGAGCAGAGACAGACTGTTTCTCGCCTCCAAGGAGGAAATCCCGGATTTCTCAGAATTCTGAGGAAAAGACCACACAGAGGCTATGGCCAGATTGACAGACTAAACTCCACCCCTTCACTCTTAATTCTCAAATTGATACCAGACTATGTAACTACCACATAAATGTATTAAAGAGCACAGTGAGTGTACAGTATAGTTACAAAATTAACCTTCTCTTCTATTAGTAAAGCCTTTTGTGCTCCAAATAAATTAACTTCTACTTGAAAGGAGACTACTTTTCCCCCATGTATCTCTCCTAAAGGCTCTACTACTAGCACATCTTCTTATTTTTATTTCATCACATAAAGCAATCTTACTACATTTTGTCCTCACTTAAATGTAACTCAAAAGTTTTTAAATTTAAAAATTAACTCCTGACATTAAAATATTATACCTGAAATGTTTTACCTTAAAATACTTAAAGTATTTGAGAATGATGATGGCAACAAATGTACCAATGCGTTTGACACGATGGATGGATGCATTGTGATAAGAGTTGTATGAGCTCCCAATAAAATGATTTTTAAAAGAAAAAGAAAAAAAATACTTAAGGTAAAACTGAATGGCTCATACATTTATATCTCTTTGGTGAGGGGAGGAATGGATAGGATGGAAGTAGGAATTTTTGTTTTTCTGTTTGTGTTTAAGCTCCTCACAAGAGTCCTACATGCAACTATGGTTGAAAACTGTGGTGATGAGGATGGATAGGATGGAAGTAGGAATTTTGTTTTCTGTTTGTGTTTAACTCAGTGAAAATATGAGGCATAGAAAAACAATTTTTTAATATTTACAAATATTTTTTTAATATTTACAAATTGTTCAGTGACATTAGCTACTATCTTCACAATATGAACATTCTTAATATCTGTTCTGGTTGTTCCATTTCCATTACCCTAGTTTCCCTGTCTTCTTACATTCATATATTTGTTTTAAAGTAATTTTTCAGTGTTTGCTCACATACAGAATTTTTCTTTGAAGGAGCACAGTTGTGACAGGTGATATTCTTTATTTTGTGAGCCAATCTGGTATCTGTCTGAAACATAACCTCAAGGACTAGTTTCACTTCAAGGTTTGAAGAGTCTTTCAGGAAAATAGTCTCAGGGAATTCTCCAGGCTCAACTAGCCCAGTAAGTGAGCTGCTGGTGGTTTTGTTTTGTTTTTCTTGTATTTTATTTGGGTTTTATAGAATGTGGTGTTTTCTCCAATTTTATAAGGGACCATCTCTGTGGCCTTGTTCAGAATGGTCAGTAGTGGTAGCCAGGCATCTATTTCTTCTGTTCTTAGAGCTCACAGGTTATGTTTCATATAGACTATTAGTCCTGTAGACTATTTTTTTCCTCTTAGTCTTTGGTTTTCTTCCTTCTCTTTTGCTATGGAAGAGTAGAGACTAATGGTGTATCTTAGATGGCCACTGGTAAGCTTTAAAGATCAGAAATACTACTCACCAAACTAAGATATAGAACATATAAACTTTATGACCTATGTTGTGCCAATTGACCAAGATGTCTGACCAAACTATGATCCTAATCCTTCAAACCAAGGAAACTAATCCTGCAAGATGTTTAGTTGCAGCTAAGACTCTCCTGTAATTGTGCTCCCTCTGTGCTTTATTTTATATTAGGTTAAGTCAAAAAGTATTGCTACAAAACTATAAACCCTATATTAAGTAAAAATATCAAAATGTAAAGCTATGATTCCTGGGTACATCCTCAATCTAGGTATGTACATTTCTGAAGGTAGTCTTTTCATCTCTCTAGCCCTTCCCTGAAGAATACATAACTTTTTGATTTATACTATGTCAACACAGTTTTTGGCACCACCAAGGGACTCAAATTGCATTCCTTTTAAACAGTGATTTCTGAGTTTTGAGTAACCTCAAGAATCTTCTTTACATTTGGGGAGCAAAAGTCTGAAGAGGCAAGATCAAGGTTGTAAGGGTGGTTGGTGTAAGATTTCCCGTCAGAATTCCCTTGCTACCTTTGAATAGGTGCATTGTCATAATGAAAATATTAAAAAGTTCCAGTACAACTTTTATTATCTTTTTCTCACCAGCATAGTATTTAATTTTCTTAAAAGGTCTGCATAATAAGCCCCCATGATCAACCTGAGATAATCTAATGAGATTACAACTTTTCAATTCCAAAATGTAGTCAACAAAACTTTCTGAGCTAACCTCTCTGCCTTGAATTTAACTAGCCAGCAGATCCTCTCAGAAGCCACTGTGTTGATTAGAATTTGCTCTCTGAATCAATCCTATTGGTCAATCCAAGATTTGCCCCAGGTTATGATTCAGTCCATAAAATCGTCTTTATAGCTTCTATCTTGCTTAAAAAAACTGATGAAAAGATCAGCTCTTTTCACTAGCTGAACCTCAAGCAATGCTTTGGGCACCCATCAAGCCAAAAGTTTCCTGAGGCCAAGAGGTTCATTTAAAGTTGAAAATTTAAGATCCCAGTAGCTATTGCATGAATGTACTTCTACAGTCTCTGACCTTCAGTCACAGTTTCGTCATTCTTTTTTTTCTTTTCTTTATTCATTAAGGCTGACAATCTTTCCTCTCTTGGATCAACGTTGAGGTCTTCTTCACTTTCTTTAAACCATCTAAAAACATTTTTTAATGTGAGGCACCATTCCCAAAACTTGTTGTAAAACTTCAGTGATTTAGAAAGATATACAATTGAGTTTTGTTAGATCAACCTTGACTTCAAAATAGTTTGTTTTGTTTTTCATTTGACAAAAGAATTATCCTTTTTCCCCTAAGACATCAAAATAAGTCTAAGACAAGTCCATTACTGAGAGAACTTGTCTGCAGCCATCCACTGATGACTGAGACATGTTTCAACATTTTTAATTGGAATAAACCCATGCATACATAAACTGGAACCTTAGCAATATTTTTCTTATCCTAATGTACATACAATGGAATATTACTCAGCCTCAAAGAGAACTGAAGTCCTTATCCATACTATGACAAGAATAAACCCTTAAAACATTGTGCTGAGTAAAATAAGTCAGACACCCTTATGGGAGCCCTTATATGGAATATCTAGACCAGGCAAATGTATAGAGATCTAAGTTTGTTAGCAGTCACCAGAAGTGAGAGAGCAGAGGAGAGGGGAATCTTGCTTAAGAAGCAGTGAGTTTCTGTTTGGCACACTAGGAAATTTGGCAGTGGATATTGGTGATGGTTCCTGTGGTGAATTAAAAGTATTTGCTTATGGTTCTATCTAAGCCTCCGTGGTCTTGTGGGTTACACATTGGGTTGCTAACCACAAGGTCAGCAGTTCAAAACTACTAGCCTTTTCACAGGAGAAGGATGAGACTTTCTAACCCATAAAGAGCTGCAGTCTCAGAAACCCACAGGGGCAGTTCTACTGTGTTCTATAGGGTCACTATGAGTCAGATCAACTCAAGGGCTGTGAGTTCTTTTGTTGACCCATATCTTTGTAACTCCTATGAAATGATTGGATGAGACTATGCAAATAGAATGTGTGAAAGACTAATAGAGGGGATTTGCCATTCTTCTGAGTATAAAAGTAAGCCATCTCAGAAGCAAGAAGGTAATCCCACGACCATCAAGAAAGAAAAGCTATCATTGAAGCTTTATACAGTGCTTTTGGCACCCATGACTAAGATCCCTGCTTGAAGAACTAGAGGCAGCAGAGGTCCCTGAAGTTGCAACACCAAGACCATGAGACAGAGCAGAGAAGCCACATCGAGACCGGAGACAGAGTGCTCGGTTTCCTAGCCCACAGAAAAAGCACAGCTAAGTACCTTTAGGCAGGAGACTGGTTTCCAGAGTGCTTTGGACATTTACAAGTGCTAAAAGAACTGGTAACACTGGCCTGAGCAGGCCAGAGGCCAAGGACCACATGATAGAGAGGCCAAGGTCCAGAGGGAGAGACTTGCTTGCCAGCATGGCTGAGAAAGAGGTATTGCAGACAGAAGAACTGTATTCTTCACGTTTTGTAACCTATTGGCTTCATTAACAAACTCCATAATTGTGAGTATTGACCATGAGTTCTATGGGGCCACTGCAATGCAGAGTGCTACGGGAGGACATTCGTATCCGAATAGGACAAAGAAAGAAGAAGGGTGGAAGTGTGTCTGATCTGCTCGAAGGCAATTGGCCTTTCCTTTTTCAAAGTCAGAGGAGGTCAGACATAGCCCTCATTCCATTTCCTCAGTTGCATAACACGGTACATGTCATTGAAGTCACTAAATTATACGTGTAGAAAACCTTAAATTTAAAAGTATGTTATATATTTGTCTTTTTTCACAATAATAAAATAAACACACACCATTGCCCAGGCTACACCCATACCACTGAAATCAGAATCTCTGTGCTAACACCTGGGCATCCATACCCCTGCAGTC